TCAAACCTATAAATTTACTTTTTAATGTCACCATTGCCTTCTTTTTGTCTTCTGTTGCAGCTGAGATAGTCAATACTGCTTTTAGAGTTTCTGTAAATCCCAGAGGGCTTCTTCAGTGGAAACTGAGTCATCTTGTAACATTATAGACGTTTTTTGAAGCAATAACAACCATGTACTATGATCCTAAGATTGAAAAAATGTTTCCCAATAAATAAAATGTGTAGCATTGTTTAAAAAATGTAATTCCTTTTAATCAAACCGATAAATTTACTTTTTAATGTGACCAGTGCCTTCTTTTTGTCTTCTCTTACAGCTGAAACAGGCAATACTGCTTTTTAGAGTTTCTGTAATTCCCATAGGACTTATCCACTGGGAATTGACTCATCTTGTAACATTATAAACCTTTTTTGGAAGTTATGTCAACCATTTACAATGATCCAAAGTTGAAAACAGGTTTTCCATTAAATAAAATGTGTAGTATTGTTTTAAAAAATGTATTTCTTTCGATAAAACCCATAAATTTACTTTTTAATGTCACAAATGTCTCCGTTTTGTCTTCTACTAAAGCTGGGAAAGCCGTTAAGGCTTTAAGAGTTTCTGTAATTCCCAGAGAGCTTATTCAGAAGGAATTTACTCATCTTGAAACACTATAATCCTTTTTTGTAAGCCATAACAACCATGTACTATGATCAAAAGATTGAAAATATGTTTCCCAATAAATAAAATGTGTGGCATTGTTTAAAAAATGTATTTCCTTTCAATCAAACCGATAAATTTACTTTTTAATGTCACAAGTGCCCTCTTTTGTCTTTTGTTAACACTTATACCATAGCCAGTACTGCTTTTAGAGTATGTTATGTTTAATTGCCAGAGAGCCTATGCAGTGGGAATTGATTCATCTTGTAATATTATAAACTTTTTTTTGTAAAATTAATTAAACATTAAATAAAACAAATAGTATTGTTAAAAAAAATTTATTTAAATCAAAAAATAACATCAAAACATACCTTTTAGGTTATCATATCTGTATCATTTTTAAAAATATTACGATAACTTATATGACTTCTCTATCACATTGTTGTCCACATCTCTATTGCCTTCTGTCATATAATCGTTGTATAGGGACAAAAACATCCCCCTACAGGCCAACTTCACCTTTAGCTTGCTGCACAACAAAAACACACCTGAAAGTTTCCTGTGGAGGGAGTAAATTTCCTCTGGTGGTGGACAAAGTCTGTGCACCAGCATAGTTTGTGCCAAATCCTGAATCCTCATAGTCATATCCTGATTGCCAAAGTCATATTTGTCATCCGTCCTGAAAATTTCACCTAGAATCATCACAGCATCCACGTGGGCGTCTTCCATGATCTAAAAACACCTTTATGAGATTCCTAGACAGAATAATACAGCTTCGAAAGTTTTAAAAGAAGAAAGAGTACAGATATATACCTTGCTTTCATAGCCAGTGAGGAACCCTAGGTCTCTAGATACGTTGAGGACTGTATCTCTATCTCCATCACAAGCAGCTTTGAGGATCTTGACGTATTGGTCCATGAAAGCTTTTGGGTACTCTCTACTAGCACCAAAATCCAATAATAGTATCTAAAGAATAAAAAGTGTGAAAATACCTTCATATTACACAAATAACCTTTAATTAGTAAGACATATTACACCAGAAGGCTCTAAACAACTAGCTTTGTTGACTTTACAACATATTTTTCCCCATTTTTAATTGATTTATAGGTTATAGACTTATAAATGACGTGACAGTACTGCTTTTAAAACACCAATATTGCTATGCGTTAATTTGTGATCAAAATTGAAAGAATATTGACTGCCCAAATAATTTAAATGTTGTTGTATCTTCTTTAACGAGAATTTACCACATACTTTTTTGCTAGGAAATATTTACAATCATCCCAATTTTTAATATTCATTAAAAACCTAAAAATTCCTATTTTTTTTACTTCAAACACAAAAATTCAAATATTTATCATCATTTCTCACTCACCTGTTTTTTTGACGGGTTATATAAGAAGTTTGCCCAATTGGGATCTGTCTGCATGTATCTGAACTTCAATATTTCTAAAAGGCACAGCTCCAGAATTTTCTGGCCAATAAATTCACGGTGTTCTATGTCCAGATCGAAGCATTGATCCACAGGAACACCATCTAATAGTTCTGTAGTAAATATCTGTTTGGTAGACAATTCATCTACAAAATTTTGATCAATAACTAAAGTATAACAGCAGAAAACAAAGATAGAGTACAATAAACACAGATCATTACGAAAAATGTAGCAGAATAAAAATATACCATTAAATATATGTCTACCAACTTACCAATAACATCTGGCACATAATACTCTTTGTAAGGTTCCAAAACCTTCTTAAATTTCTTGGTGCAAACAGATTCTCTGATATAATTTACCTCCCATGCTAGCTCCCTCTTAGCAACTACCATAAGGTTCTCCAAGAACATTCCCTTGGGAAACACATTCCACATCTTCATTATGCCACCCAAATTATCAATGTCACTTTCTATTCCTTGGGCTACACCTGGATATTGGATTTTAATCGCCACTTCCCTTCCATCTTTAGTTTTAGCTTGATGTACCTGACCTATTGAGGCAGCAGCAAACGGTACATTTTCAAAGTCTCCAAATTTGTTTCTCCAATGAGGACCAAGTTCAGCTACCATCACCTAGACAGAAACATGTGATCAAAACACCTAAAAAGTATTATTTTTAGTCAAATCCCATATTTAATATTGAATTTTTCCCTAAAACACCCATCAACTAAAGGAAAAACACATAAAAACTGTGCTGTCTTATAAACCCTGCACTTACCTGTTCTAGTTGCCAGTCAGGCATAAAATCAGCAGATTTCCTGACCCTTTCCAGTGCTTTGGCTAGCTCAGGGTTGATTATAGAGTCATCTTGTATGCTCAAGATCTGTCCCAGCTTTAGGGCAGCTCCTCTCACCTTACACAAAGTGTCAACAACTCTGTCCATATTGGCTTTGCTCATAAACAGTGTAGATGCATTTCCTGGGGGATCTCCAATACCAAGAGTGCGTTTGGCATATTCTGTAGCTGTGCCAATTCCTAGGCCTGCTGCCAGACTACCAAATGATACCATACGACCTATTCTTGAAGAGGGACTTTTCTTTGTTTAGCGCTGTCACTTAACTGAAACATATTGATGCCAGATGACCACTATATTGAATAAAATACCTTCAATATAAACTAGTTATACAATATAGCTTTATGAGTTTCTTTGAATGCCTAAAAAATTATTAGTAAACAAGTATTTCTACAAATGTTAATAAAATTGTAGAATATAATACAAATATTCTTTATAGACTGTCACAAGGCATTAAACAATGTAAAACTACCAAAATAAAATATGAGAAAATAGTTATTGGTAGAAAAACTCAAGAATCAACAACTTTATTGTAATTTCGAAGATTATGAAAGCTCTGAATAGTTCTGGTATGAAATATCTATCTCAACCTTAGTTTATGAACAAATAAAACAGAGTAGATGATCACAAACCTTATTCAAAGAATGAGGTTTGTGATCATCTACTGCATTTTGAAGAATTTTTTCTCGTCCTTTTTAAAGAATTTAAAAATTTCTACTTTTATTAGCGATTTATCAATTTTAAACCTACCTTCATCTTAGATTTAACATTTGGAACTGCTGTTATTTTGGTAGCTTCTTTTTCTTTCACAGGTTTAACCTTAACATCCTTTTCCCTTGTAGATGCATCTTTGTTCTCTTCTCTATCTTTTTCTTTGATTAATTTTGCTCTGTGTTCCATATCTAATCTTTTTAATAGCTTTTTATCACCCTCTGTTAGTTCTATAGAATATATTTTTTTATTAGTGTCTAAAACTTCAGTTTTGAGCTCTTGAGGAGGTCTCTTGTAATCCTCTTTCTTCAATACTTTTGGTGTTTCCTTCAATGTTTCAGCAGCAGTTGATGTTGGTGTATCTAAAACACAAAAGTAAACCACCTACATACTTTTTTAACAAAATAAGATACTTCCACCTACCTGTTTTGGCCATATTAAGAAATGCAATTAGGAGATTAGTCACATACTCACCTTTCTGGCCCAAGGCCACATTTGTGTACACTTTCAATCCATGCAAGACTGTTGATACCCGGTCAATGCTATCTTTAAGATCAGGGGGATTTGTCCCACCAAATTTCGGGGCCTTTTGGCATGCGGTAGAGCAGCCCTCTGCAGCATGTCTCAAACTTGAATTCGACCATATGAACTTGGCTTTCTCTGCTTGCAATTTAACGCAAGCCTCGGCGATTAGTTGCAAAGATTTCAGAAGACAAGCAAGATCTTGTGCACGGGACATTGAACACTCTAAAGAAAGCATATATTAAATTTACAAGAACATTTACAGACATCTTAGATTTTAGTATAGGTTAGAGTATTATATAAGCTTTTACGTACATAATCTTGCCTACATACCTGATATTATTTATATATATTTTGTAAAAGTCATATTAAATTTAAAATCTTAACTTTAGATTTTCCACAAGGTGATGTAACATTGAGAAAATTTTAATTTCTTTTAAAGATATAGTTTTTCTATTTCCTGTTAGTTGACCTATATATAGGCTTTAGAAGAGCCTATTAACAAAATTTAAAACTTCTGAAATAACCTCATTTCGCTTTAAAATTTTACTAAAAATGGTAAAAAAACTCAAAATAGAAAGGCGCAAGGTAAGAGTCCTGATGAATGTAATTCTGACACAAGACAGAAGAATTAGGTTATATGTCCAATCTATAATTTATATAAATATTAAAATTTATTATCTATATTCTTTGTTATTAATTTAAATACATAAATATAAAATATGGAGGAAGATTCACCTGTAACAAGTTTTCCAGTAATCTTAGAAAAAGATCCCTTTGACGAGGAACCTCCACTGGGTCAGGCTGAAGTAGGAATCAAATTTTAAAAACATCATTTTTGTTTAATGTTCACATTAGATTAATTTAAGTATATTGAATGTGACATTGAATGGTAGATTATTGTATAAACTTAGTATATTTAATGTTTCATTTATTAACGTTTATTATCATGTTCTTTCTTGCTTATATTACGATTGTATTTCTATGAATTTATCTTTTAGACTAGACCCGGAGTTCTTTTACTACGTTCATGGCTAAATACGTCACTTACCGTGGAAATGACCGATGGAAGAATTCTCATAGGAGTATTTTTATGCACAGACAGAGACGCTAACATAATTCTAGGATCTTGTTCAGAGTACTTGCCATTTGAAAACAACAGCAAAATTACAAACGAAGAGCCAAGAATGCTGGGACTGGTCATGGTACCTGGGAAGCATATTGTCAGTATAATTCTAGATCCTAATGTGGACTCTGCTTCGAGGAATCCGTTCAATAAACATTATGGGAGTGAAGAAATTATGTAAATTTGTGTAGAACATAACATAGACTATAAGCAAGCTGTACAAAGTTAGAAATAAGCAATATATAACATTTCTTGTTGGTTTTTTTAAATTGTGGATCTTTACTTACATCCTTTCACTCTATTTTCAACTTTTTTAAGGTAAGTAGCGAACATTATACTCTCTTAAACTCATCGTTTATGTCTTAGTTTCTTATTTACTACTTAGAAGTTGTCACTTGTAATTATTTGTATGTCACATGTAATTGTCACTTGTATTTACTACTTAGAAGTGTCACATTTTCTTGTCTTTTTTTTATTTCGCTCTTGCTTGTGTAAATTTTTATGTTTAGTTAATCAAAACTGCCTATATTCAGGTTTTTGTTTTCATAATGATTTGATTTTGTGATTTAGATCATCTAGATACATTTACCAATATTGTAAATACTTTTTTCCTTGTTTTTATTCGGTTTTAACTTATTTTATTCACTATATATGTTAAAATGTTCACTTCAAGATTAGTAAATGACTGTTAGCTCTTTCTGCCTTTTTGGGTGGAGCAAGTTTTTGTCACTTTTAACTATGTAAAGTGTAAAATTGATCCACTACTTCGAGAATATTTATTTATCAGTACATTTTTTTGTTTATATTCCTAGATTCTGTTTTTATAATCATTTTAGTGCAATTGTTTTCTGCATTGGCTTTATCTGTGACACTTTTTTGTTTATTTTAGAACTATATATAAATTTCTTTTGTTACTTGTATGAAAACTTTTAAATGAAACGAACCAGTAAACAGTCTAACTTTATTTTGTTCCAAAAGTAAATACAATTGTCAGATTACATTGTACCAGCCTTAACTTACAGTAGATGACATGACTAAATGAAATTTTGTTTAGTTGATATCGATATTTCAACAACTTGTCACTAGATTTCTTTAAGATTTCATATGACAAAGAAAATTTTTGGGTGTAAGGTTACAGTTATGCTTCAGTGGATTATTAATTATTATTCTTTGATTCAATTTTTTAAGAAGTTATATGAACATTGAATATCTCACTGACTTTCTGAGTATTTATCATTTAGCAATGCATTTCTCCATCCTGGCATCTCGTTAAGAGAAATAAATAAGACAAATAGTGATAAATAGGATTTTAATGGGTGCATTTGAGATTTTAACAATTCTTATTCATAGGTAAGTATAATAATTTCAAAAAATGGAGCTTTTGTACACCTTTTATATTAAAATATAAATATATATGTATATTTAACAACAATAACAAAATAACAACAGCAAAAATAATTGTTTTTTAAGAGTACATCCTTTCAATGATATCTTTATATTTTTGTTCAACAATTCTTCGTTTTACTTTCATTGTAGGACCTAAAACAAAATATACAATGGTTAAAACAACAGTTTTAAGGAACTTAGTGTACTAACTGTTTTGTTAAAGTCTTTTTCAGTTAGTCTCATGTCACAAGGAAAAATTATCATACCTAATTCTCCTGTAGGTATGGAGAAATCAGCAGGAAGCACCGATATCTTCTTTATAGTTTGAGCATTGGATGTGGCTTGCTTGTTAACTCTCTCTATACCCTTCAAGAGTTCATCTAGTACACGTTTGTCTGGACCAGCTGCCAAAACCTCTTTGACAGTTTCAGCCGGACTTCCGATGGATCTCAGCCAGTATTTAACTTCGGATGTGAGGTTATCTCTAGGGATCCCTGTCTCGGGATCGACTTCAGTCTTAAGGGTTACCAAAATGGTAAGAAATTTTCGTTTGTCGCCGATTAAGAAGGCGTTGCTGACGAATGGCAGTTCTGACTTGACTTGCTGCTCGATGGCAACTGGGGGAATGTTCTCGCCACCCGCTGTCACCAAAAGCTCCTTTAATCTACCTACAACAAACAAAACATTACAAATTACCTTGAAATCCTTTTTCTCTGCTTAAGTTTTTCTTACCTGTGATATAAACCAGCTGTTTTTCATCTATTCTACCCAGATCTCCAGAGTGTAACCAACCTTCTTCATCTAAAGCTTCGCTAGTTTTTTCTGGTTCGTTTAAATAACCCATAAATACATGTCTACCGAACATACACAACTCTCCCTGGCCGTTTTCTTCATTGAATAGTTTAGTCTTCATTCCTGGCATTGTCATACCGATGGTGTCGAAGTTTGTGGCGCCCTCTATACCAAGACAGTGCCCACCGCTGGCTTCTGACATACCTATGGGAACAAAAAACTTCATAAGCCAAAAAACGATGGTTAATTCAAGAATTTACCGAAACAGTCCATCACAGGTATATCGATGCTGTGGAAATACCTCTTTACATCAGGTGCCAACGGTGCTGCAGCACTAGCGAAGAAAGTACACCTAGATAGACCTAAGGCTTGTTTGACTTTGCTGAAGAGGACGTTTTTGGCGAACATATAACCCCACGAATTGGACTGGACTCTAAAAAGAAAAAGCAAAAGAAAATTAAAAGTTTGTAAAAGCAAAAGACGTAATAAACTTACCCATTCATCGTATCTACGTGATGCTGGAGAGCCTGTTTCTTCGCCCAGCCGGAAATAAACTTCCTGAGAGCTCCGCTCTTGGCTGCGATCTGCATCATCTTCTCGAAAATCTTTTCATACACTCTAGGAACTCCCAAGAACTTCGTAGGACGAACTTCCTGCATGGTGTTGATCAAAGTACCCTTTAGGGCGTCCTTATCGGCGAAGTAAACTGCCGCAGCTACTGTTATAGTGATGTATATGTCGACGACTTGGGCGGCTACGTGACTCAGGGGCAGGTAACTGATGAGGACCTCCTCGCCTCCCACGGGAAGCCCCATGCGCTCGGTTATCACCAAGGCATCCCACGTCAGGTTGTCGTGACTGAGCATCACACCTTTGGGGTTACCTACAGTTCCAGACTGGAAATAAAATAAACAATTATTAAAAAGGTCCAAAAACGTTGGTTGTGTTGAGTAAGTACTCACCGTGTAGACCAAAGTACAGCACCTGTTGATAGCAACGTGTTTCAAGGCATTATTTAAGGCGTCGTCAGTTTGTTGAGCACCTATTTCCATCAGTCTTTTCCACTGAAATAATTAAAATACACATTATATTGCTTTATGTCAAAATACATAGAAATAACAATGATTGTAAAGGATTGTGACTTATTTTCTTAATGTTCTAGGCGTAAAAGTAGCAGATATTTATCTTCTGATCAGTAACGTCTACAGAGAAAAACATTGTAAGCGAAGGAATGGTAACATACCAGAGATCTAAGAGAGTCATCACTGACATTAATATCTCATTCTCATTAAATCGTTATACCATAGCGTTGTTTGATAATTGTGATTTTGAATCTGGTTACAGTTCTTTAAATCAATTTTTTCTTCGATTTAACCAATGGTGTCACGAAAAAAGTTTAAAGATTTCACTAACGAAATCGAAAGCATGTATATTCACCCGGAAACGAACTATTCCCAATCAGATTGTTTTACAAGACCATAGTTTTCCCGTTATTTCCCACGTAACATACCTAGGAGTAACAATTGATAGAAAATTAGTCTGGAAAGAGCACATAGAAAGAATAAAAAAAAGCGAGAAATGAGTAAATATATTAAGAGCTGTAAGTTCTTACAGTTAGGGAGCCGATTCAGAAATGTCCCTGTTATTATACAGGTCATTTAAGATCAATTCTGGATTACGGATGCTTTCTATACTCTCAAGCAGCCTCCAGTAACCCAAAAAAGTTAGATAATTTAGTGAATAAATGTCTAAGATTATCCCTTGGAGCCTTTAAAAGTACACCAATTTCAAATCTTCAAGTAGAATGTTGTGAAATGCCTTTAGAGCTAAGAAGAAAATATCTCTGTAATAAATTTTTATGCAAAATTTCATCTAAAAATAGTTGTCTAGTCTAATAAAGTTCACAACCTTTTTATAATGGATTTAGCTAATAAGTACTGGAAGAAAAAAGAATCACTGGTTTTATGTAAATCATATCAAGACTGCTTACAATATAAAGACAATATGTATAAAAACGAACTGTTACCGATATACCAAACAAACTTAACTGATGTGCCTGAAATAGACATACGCTTTCTAAGAGATTATTCTAATTACCCCATGTCGTTGAGAAATGTGATGTTTAATTCAGACATAGAAAATGATTTTAAAAATTATGATATCATATTTACAGATGCATCAAAAAAAGACGAAAAATCGTCCTGTGCATTGTGGGACCCTACACAAGACTATTTCGAGGCTAAAAAACTTCCGAGATATTAATATTAATTATATCTTACAAAATATATTAATCAATTTTAAATACTTGTATGAGGAAGGAAAAATAGTTAAGTTTGTTTGGGTTAAAGCTCATTGTGGGATCATCCACAATGAAAAAGTAGACATACTGGCAAGGAAGCATTAGATTCCGATACTGTTGTAAATTATTCATTAGTTCCTGAAGACCTTTATATTATTTCAAAAAATATAATTAGGCAGGAATGGATGAATAAATATGATCATTCCACCAAGGGACTTTTTTATAAAGGCATTCAGCCGAAAATTCCTACCAAACCATGGTTCTGTAATTTTATAACAAAAAAAGATGCAATCAGAATTATCTGTAGAATTCGATTCAATCATTCCCTAGCACCATCTCACTTATTTAAATTAAAAATTGTAAATTCCCCAAACTGCGAATGTGGAGAATATGGCACACTAGAACATATGATATTAAATTGTAGTAAAAATAGAATAAAGACCAATATTTTTATGGAAACCATTATGAAAATAAAAATTTTAGTAAAACCCATCAACCTTTATAGGTTAATAGTTTTTAACAATTTAGAAGTTTATAAGTTGCTATATCAATACATAAGCAGTTTAAAAATAAGAATACGAAACAATAGTTTAAAAAGACCAATGTATACCAAAACTTGTATATAAATGAAAAAAGAAAAAAAATAATAAAAAAATATAAAACAAATTAAAAAAATAAATATAAAAAAAACAAAACAAAAAAGAATAAAATAAAAAAAAGTAAAATTAAAAAAAATAAATAAAAAAAAATAAATAAAAAAATAAAAAAAAAAATAAAATAAAAAAAAT